CCACGTACCGACGGCCACGGGGGCCGGACGGCCGGTACGGACGGACGGTCGGTCGCGACCTGCGGTGACCGGACGTCGAGCCGGGCACCTCGAGCTGAACTGAGCCCAGGACTCGTGCTTCCAAGTCAAGTCCAGGGTGTGTGGCTTCGTGGGGAGGCTTGGCAGCCCTTGAGCCTCCATCTCCTACATCCAGGACAGGGAGGAGGAAGCCGCCTTCCCAGGCCGGTGCCTGCAAGACGGTGGAACCACCACGCTCCAGTGTCCCCCAAGACCAGGAGCGGGGCTCACATGGCTCCTGGGCCGCACACGGGGCTGTGTGGATGTGGAGACCCCGAGGCTCGGACGTGTCCCCTCTTGCTGTTCTGGGTTCTTTTTACCGTGGTTTTGATGTTGCAATTCTTGTTTTAGAACAATTCGGGGAACTGTCGCGGGTTTCAGTATGTCCTTTCTGTCCCTGTGTAAGTTCTCCTGAGCCTTGATTCAACTCCTGTCCCAGGTCTTGAAGAAGTCGCTGTGCATGGTCAAGTCCCACTGGAAGGAGAAGCAGGATTATGCCTTTGCCTGCGAGCAGATGAAGTCCATCCGGCAGGACCTGACGGTGAGGCGGGCGCCTGGGGGGCTGCGCTGGTGGGTGCTGCCCTGCTCCGGGGTGACATCTGCTCTCCTGCTGCCCAGGTGCAAGGTGTGCGCACGGAGTTCACAGTGGAGGTGTATGAGACCCACGCCCGCATCGCCTTGGAGAAGGTGAGGGGGGGGCCCGGCCCCCAGCCCCGGCCCCCGGGCTGGCTCTCCTGACCTCACTCCGCTCCCCACACGCCTCTGCCCTCCAGGGCGACCACGAGGAGTTCAACCAGTGCCAGACGCAGCTCAAGTCGCTGTACGCCGAGAACTTGCCGGGCAACGTGGGCGAGTTCACTGCCTACCGGGTCCTCTACTACATCTTCACCAAGAACTCAGGAGGTGAGAAGCGCCGTCCCACAGGCCGGAGCAGCTCCGGGCCCACCGGGTTGGGCCCTGCTGACCTTTTGTCTCTGGCCCCAGACATCACCACAGAGCTGGCCTACCTGACACGGGAGCTGAAGGCAGACCCCTGCGTGGCCCACGCCCTGGCGCTGCGGGCGGCCTGGGCTCTGGGCAACTACCACCGCTTCTTCCGGCTCTACTCCTGCGCACCCTGCATGTCCGGCTACCTCGTGGACAAGTTTGCAGACCGCGAGCGCAAGGCCGCCC